GTTGTCCGGATAATTTCTTTCTATTTTTTTTAGTAGAGATGGGGTCTCACTCTTGCTCAGGCTGGTCTCAAACTCCTGAGCTCAAACAATCCGCCCGCTTTGGCCTCCCATAGTGCTAGGATTACAGGCGTGAGCCACCGCGCCCAGCCAACCATTTACTTTTTAATTAAAAAAAATTTTTTAAGAGACAGGGTCTCACTCTGTTGCCCAGGCTGGAGTGCAGTGACATCATCATAGCCCACTGCAACCTCAGACTCCTGGGTTCAAGTGATCCTCCCACCTCAGCCTCCTGAGTACCTGGGACTACAGGCTCGCACCACCACATCTGGCTAATTTGAAAAAAATTTTTGTAGAGATGGGGGTCTTACTATGTTGCCCAGGCTGGTCTCAAACTCCTGGCCTCAAACGATCCTCCAGCCTCAGCCTCCCAAAGGGTTGGGATTACAGGTGTGAGCCACTGTATCCGACCAATTTTTACCATTTTTAAATGAACTATTCAGTAGCATTAAGTAGATTCCCAATGTTGTGCAACCGCCACCTCGTTTCTTCAACTTTGAGCAAATATTTATAGAGCACCTACTGTATGCCAGGACTGAAGACACATCTGAGTAAGGCAGCCCTGGCTGTGCCCCAGGGAGCTCGCATCCCAGCAGACAGACTAACATACAAGCAAATGATACAAAATGTGCCATTTTAACCATTTATAAGCAAACATAGTCACAGACAACCCCAGCTTGTGTGGCTCCCACACCCCAGGAAGGGGGTCTTGGGGTGCAGAGCTCAGCCCTGGGGCCCGGAGGAGTGAGAGGGAGGGTCCCAGTGTGGACCTGGCACCCGGCCTCACTGCCTGCACCCAGCCTTCCCCTGGTGGGTGTCCCCAGACCACAACGAGTGCGCCACCAGCACCATGTGTCTCAACGGCGTGTGCCTGAATGAAGATGGCAGCTTCACGTGCCTCTGCAAACCTGGCTTCCTGCTGGCGCCTGGTGGCCGCTACTGCGTGGGTGAGGCCCAGGGACAGTGGCGGGGTTGGGGGAGATTGGAGGGGGAGGATGAGGAGAGGGATGGGGTGAAGAGAGGAGGAGAAGGGAAGGGATGGAGAGAGCGGTGGGGAGGGGGTGGGGACCCATCTCAGTGCCTCCGCGGCCCCGCAGACATCGACGAGTGCCAGACGCCGGGCATCTGCGTGAACGGCCACTGCGCCAACACCGAGGGCTCCTTCCGCTGCCAGTGTCCGGGAGGGCTGACGATGGGCGCGGACGGCCGCGTGTGCGTGGACACCCGCGTGCGCAGCACGTGCTACGGGGCCCTTGAGCAGAGCTCCTGTGCCCGCCCCTTCCCCGGCACTGTCACCAGATCCGAATGCTGCTGCGCCAGCCCTGACCACGGGTTTGGGGAGCCCTGCCGGCCGTGTCCGGCCCAGAACTCCGGTGAGCATCTGGCTGCGGCGGCTCCACCCGACCCGCCTCCCTCAGCCCTCGCCTGTGATGGGAGGGTCTTGGATTTCATGGGGCGGGGGCTTCTCTCTGCTGGGGGGCCCTCCCCAGGAAGAGGCTAGAGGGAGTTGCTCTCCCGGGGTGGGTGGGGCGCACCGTAGTCCCAGACTCTAGCTCAAGACCCAGGGACCGTGTCCCCGGCCATGGCTCAGATCCTGCAACGGCCAAGCTCTCTGACTCACGTCCCTACGCCCCTCCGTCCCCAGCCGAGTTCCAGGCGCTCTGCAGCGGTGGAGTTGGCATCACTGCGGACGGTCGCGGTGAGTGGGGCCCCAACACCCCCAAATGGGTAGCACGCCACTGCCGTGGTGTCGGCAAGTGGTGGTTGGGAACTGTACAAGTCTGCTCGAGCTGCCGTAACAAAGCACCCCAGACTGGGCGGCTTCAACCACAGAAAATTCTTCTCTCCCGATCCTGGAAGCCAGAGGCCCCAGGTCAAGGTGTGGGGGGGCTGGTTCCTTTCCAGGGCCGTCAGGGCGACATTGTTCCAGGCCTCCCCCCTCGCTTCCGGTGGTTGCCCGCAATCTTCGGCATTTCTTAGCGTGTGGAAGCATCACCCCGATCTCCCCGTGTGTGTGTGTGTGTGTGTGTGTGTGTTTGCGTGTGTAGCTATGTCCAACTTTCTCCTTTTTATAAAGACTCCAGTCATATTGGATTAGAGCATGCCCTGATGACCTCGTTTGAACTTGATCACCTCTGTAAAGACCCTGTCTCCAAAGAACGTCACGTTTGGAGGTCCTCAGGTTTAGGATTTCAATATATGAACTTCGGGGAGACATATCACAGCCGTAGCAGACAGAGGTGGTGGACATAGATAAAGCAGGGCTTCCTCCCCGATTTCTTTCCCTCCTCAGCCCTGTTTTTTGTGGAATCCACTCTGCAACCTTCCTCCCTTGAGAGTCTCCTAGTCCCCACCGGGAACATGCAATCCCCGCCAGGACCTCTCTGGCCAGCAGGTCTCAGCCCCAAGCGCCTCATCTGTAAAGCTGAAACTGGAAAGGAAATTCACCATGTGTGTTTCTCTTCTCCTGTTGGCTGATGCAATAGAGAAACGTGTGCGCATGCGCGTGGGCTCCTGCACGCACATGCCCCGTCCCTTCCCCTGAGCAGAAAGAAAAGGAGTTGGGGATACAGCCACGTTTTCCACCCACTGCTGGGTCATTGGGGGGCGGGGGGGGGCAGCCGCCTGACTCCCCAGAAAAAGCACATTCGGGAGCCAGGCTGCCCGAGTTCAAATCCTGGCCCTACTATCTCCTGACTGAATAACCCTTGGGCAAGTTACTTACCCTCTCTGTCTCTGACTTTTTGTAAAGCGGAGATAACAGTAGGACCCCTTTCAGCCACGCTGTGAAGATTAAACGAGTTTGTATATTTAATGTATGTAGAACAGCGCTCGGCGCAAGCGCTCTGTCATGTTAGCAGTTGTGATTGTTTTTATTTTTATGACGGAGCCGCTATACAGACGTCTACTCCACAGGTTCCAAACTGGGGGCGTTTGCTCCCCCCGCCCCACAAGGGTCATCAGGCAATTTCTGGAGAAACATGGAGGAGGGTCCTACTCGAATCTCGTGGGTGGAGGCCAGGGATGCCATCGACATTCTGCAGCGCACAGAACAGGCCTCCAGGGCAGAGAGTGCTCCAGCCCCAGATGTCAGCGGTGTCCGGGCTGAGACACCCTGGTTTAGAGGGAGACGAGGCGAGCTCTGGGCTGGAGCTCTGGCCCGGGACAATCTGACTTCTAGAGACCCCTGGTGACACCATCCTCCTTCCGTAGATATCGACGAGTGTGCACTTGACCCTGAGGTCTGTGCCAACGGCGTGTGTGAGAACCTTCGGGGCGGCTACCGCTGCATCTGCAACCTGGGTTACGAGGCAGGCGCCGAGGGCAAGACTTGCGCAGGTGAGCGTGCCAGTGGGTGCGGTGGGCAGGTGGCCTCTCCCGCCGCAGACGCCCCACCCCTCTCTCCCACCCCCCACTGCAGACGTGGATGAGTGTGCCCTCCGCAGCCTTCTGTGTGACAACGGGTGGTGTCGGAACAGCCCCGGCAGCTACAGCTGCTCCTGCCCTCAGGGTTTCAGCTTCCGGCAGGACACGGAGACCTGCGAAGGTACAGGGTCCTGGGCGCGCGCACACACACACACACACACGCACACACACGCTTGGGCACACGCTAAGTGAGATGTGTACACACATGGGTGCATACATGCTCAAAGACTCTTACATGTATGCTGTATCCACACACACATATTTGCACACGCTGCATGTGGCGTGTATCCACAGGCGTGCACGCACATACTCAGACATGCGTTCTGCATGCAGTGTGCGCACACACGCTGCATGCATTGCGCACACAGACACACACCCACTTAGGCTGCACATGGTGTGCACGTACACAGGCACACACATATGTTCAGACAGATGCTGTGCAAATGCAGACTGTCACACGCTTGAAGATACTTGCATGTACACCTGTGTTCACACACACACACTCAGGGACACACATATGCTCACATTCACACAGCCATGCTTTCCACACTTGCGCTCACAGCCACACACGGTTGCACACACTCAAAGGCACACCCTTACGCACACATTCATACATCCACACACGTGCGCGTTGTCAACACTCAGTTACACGCACTTGTGCTCACTCAAGGCACACACACATAACGTGCACACACGCCCAGCCACTCCCACGCCGCTACACACTCACAAGCACACGCACTCAAACGCAGCATGTACCCAGGGCCCCGCACACACTTAGGCTCATGGTCACACCCACGCCCTTCCACACATTTGTACACTCACACTCACTCACACAGGTGCACACACCCGCCATCGCCCACACACACACTTTGTGGCAACGTCTTTGCACTGAGACACGTCTACACTCACACCAGCCACTGCACACACGCTAGCCCATCTGAGACCTCTCCCCAGCCCTTATTCCCACAGAGCATCCGGGCTGCCTGCCTATCCCCTCCCATCCCAGTGTGACTTCTGCCTCCGGTGACACCAGTGCCCTCCATGTGTCCTTCTCAAATCCCATTGTGCTCATTCTCTGCAGCCACTGAGGCCCAGCTGCCTGCTCCCAGCCGCCCCCCCGCCACACCTGGGTTTCCTCATCTGTCTCACTCTTGTCCTCTCTTGTGCCTCAACCCCCTTGAGGGTCACGGTTCCCGACGTGAACGCTCATGGAACCTGCCTATCAGCATTCACGTGTGGAGGCTGTGATACTTCTATTTGTAACATAGAATATGCACAGGCGGCCCTCCGCATGCTCGGGTCCCAGGTCTGCAGATTCAGCCAACCTCAGATTGAAAATACTTGGAAAGAAAAAACCAGGAAAAATAATAATACGACAGTTACCAATAATGCAAATAAGTCTGGACACAGGGGCTCACACCTGTAATCCCAGCACTGTGGGAGGCTGAGGCAGGAGGATCGCTTGAGGCCAGGAGTTTGAGACCAGCCTGGGCAACATAGCAAGACCCCATCTCCACAAAATTTTAACAATTAGCCAGGCATGGTAGCAGTGTGCACCTGTAGTCCTAGCTACTTGGGAGACTGAGGCAGGAGGATCACTTGAGCCTGGGAATTTGAGACTGCAGTGAGCTACGATGGCACCACCGCACTCCAACCTGGGCGACAGAGCAAAACCCTGTCTCTTTAAAAAAAAAATACATGGACACCCAGCTGGTGTCAGAGAATTGGTCCATGTGGGAAAAAAACCCACGCATCCGTTCGCTGAAGTGTTCTGTACTCTGTTGAAGGTGAGAGTAGGAAAAACAGTTTGGTTTTCCTGTCTCTTGCAGTGTGCACACACATGGCTCTTTGAGAACATGCTTGCTTGCATGCACATTTGATTCTTGTGCTCTCTGCACATGCATGTACCTGGGTGCACCCACGCTACAGGCTGCAGCAGCCCCTTGGAGAGGAGGGGCACCGGCCAGGTGAATCTCTTCTCCCTGAAGCTCAGGACCCGGTGGGGGGGCTGTTCCCACAGACATCAACGAGTGCCTGTCCAGCCCGTGCATGAACGGGGTGTGCCGGAACCTGGCCGGCTCCTACACCTGCGAATGCGCCCCCGGCAGCCGGCTGGGGCCCTCTGGCACTGCGTGCCTAGGTGAGTGGCCCCCGAGCCCTACCGACTTCCAGAGGCTGGGAGTCTGTGAGTTGGGGCACAGGTGTGGGCCCGGCAGGTGAGGCAGGTGACCCGTCCCCCTCCCTGCAGACGGCACCAGAGGCACCTGCTGGCTGAAGATCCAGGACAGCCGCTGTGAGGTGAACCTTCAGGGAGCCACCCTGCGCGCCGAGTGCTGCGCCACCCTGGGGGCCGCCTGGGGGAGCCCCTGCGAGCGCTGCGAGACCGGTACCGTCTGCCTGTTCGCCCGTGGAAGCCCTGGGTGAATGCGGCAGTGCCCCCGCCGCTGGGGACGGCTCGGCAAGCTGACCTCTCTCTCCACTCCTGCTCTCCCAACCGCAGACCCTGCCTGCGCCCGTGGCTTCGCCCGCACGAAGGGTCTCACCTGCGAAGGTAAATCCCTGCCCCGCTCCTGAGCCCCCACACAGGCAGGGACGCGTCGTGGGAGTGCCAGGGGCTCCTCCCTGGAGTCTTCTGAGATGAAAAAGGAAGTTCCCCCTGGAAGGGACACTGGCTACCCACCCACCCACCTCCCCAAGGACAATCTGGGCTCCCTGAAACCCCAGGGGAGTAGCCAGCCAGCGCCCCCCTGCTCCTGGGACCCTGCAGCTCTCCTCCTTACCTCCCACTGCCCAGATGTGGACGAGTGCGAGGCCTTCCCCGGGGTCTGCCCCAACGGCCACTGCCTCAACACCGCCGGTTCCTTCCGCTGCGAGTGTCCCGAGGGCCTCACACTGGACGCCACTGGTCGGCTGTGTGTGGGTGAGTCCGGGCGGGGTCCACGCACAGGGCCCCTGCCCTTCCTTCGTGTCTTCCAGCCCCAACGACGAGAGACCCCTGCTAGGAGCAGGGGGATTTAGAGGATCCTCCTGCGGGACCCTCCACCTCCAGTTGGCCTGTCTTAAGACATTTAGTTTAAACAATCATCTCTTCATTGCTCCCCGAGAGTTTAACTGCTCCCCTGTGTGAGTCTCATTGCAAATGGTAAAATCTCGTGAAATAACATCTGCCACGTTTGTTTCTTCTCTAGATGTGAGGACGAAGCCCCACCTGTGCAGATGCTAGGCATGGTGGCGCATGCCTGTAGTCCTAGCTACTCGGGAGGCTGAGGCAGGAGGATCCCTTGAGCCCAGGAGTTGGAGGCTGCAGTGAGCCATGATGACGCCACTGCACTCCAGCCTGGGGACAGGGCAAGACTCTGTCTCAAAAAAAAAAAAGTTACTATTATTGAGGTGTTTCAGTGGGATGATAGTGAATTTTAGTGTGAAGAAGTCACTGCCCATCCGTCTATATCGGGAAGAAGGTGTCACATGGGAGTTACTGAGTGGGACACTGTCTTGCAGCGGGCACAGTGTGGCAAGGGTGGGACCTGGTGACTGTTCCTTTGCGCAGACATGAGGTTGGAGCCGTGTTTCCTGCAATGGGACGAGGACGATTGTGGGGCCCCTCTGCCTGGCAAGTACCGGATGGACGTCTGCTGCTGCTCCGTTGGGGCCGCGTGGGGAGCTGAGTGCGAGTCCTGCCCGGAGCCGGAGTCCCCGGAGTTCACCAGCCTGTGTCCCCAGGGTCTAGGTTTTGCCAGCCGGGACTTCCTGTCTGGCCAGCCGTTCTATAAAGGTGCGGTTTTGGGGAAGAGGACGGGGCCCCTGGAAGGACAGGGCGGGACACGACACAGCACAGGCTAGAGGGGGGACATGGGTTGGAACACTGGGGACATGGGAAAATTCTGGAACTGAGAACCCAGGGAGGGCTTGATTTGTGACTTCCGAGCTTCGGGATGTCAGGGTGGTTTGACGCCAATTTATGCCTCTGCGCCCCAGATGTGAACGAGTGCAAGGCGTTCCCCAGCCTGTGCGCACACGGCACCTGCCGCAACGTGGTGGGCAGCTTCCGCTGCTCCTGCGCGGGGGGCTTCGCCCTGGACGCCCAGGAAAGGAACTGCACAGGTAGGCGCCTCCCTCCGCCTCTTGGAGACGCAGCAACGCTTGCAGGGATGGGGTCTCAAATCAGAGATGGAGACAAGCCAAATTCTTTAGGCACCTCTTGCGTCTGCCTGTGTGCTGTGTGACCTAGGGCAGGTCACTGCCCTCTCTGGGCCGCAGGGATCCCGACTGCAAAAGGAGGGGCTAGCAAAGGCGACCTCCAGGGGCCTCCAGGCTATGAGGAAATTCCCTGCTTTTGGTGTTCAGTTGAGGTCCCTCTACGTCCCCGGCTCTGTTGAGCATCTCAGGGCTTCTGTGCAGCCCCTCGTGTCTGCAGACCTGGAGACCCCACCGCGTCCCGCAGCCCTTGGTCTGTGCCCCCCTCATGCCCACAGGCAGGGACCCCTCGGCCTGTGCCCCCTTGTGCTGCACATACGTCCCCCCTGGCCTCCACGCCCTCTCCCCACAGACATCGACGAGTGCCGCATCTCCCCTGACCTCTGCGGCCAGGGCGCCTGCGTCAACACCCCGGGCAGCTTCGAGTGCGAGTGCTTCCCCGGCTTCGAGAGCGGCTTCATGCTCATGAAGAACTGCATGGGTCGGCGGCTGCAGGCCACGGGCAGGGCGGGCGTGGAGGGCAGGGAGGGTGGGGCTGTCGCCGTGCAGACGTGGGCGGAGGGGCTGCAGACCGACTGAGACGCGGCGAGTCTGGGTGCCACTGGGCGTCCTCCTCAGGACAGAGTCCAGGGACAGAGATCTAGGAGTGGCCGGCACACTGCGGGTGGGCGAGGTCTCCCGGGGAGGGCGCAGCAGCCTAGGGTTAGGGTTAGGGTTAGCAGCGTGACAAGAGGAAAGAGGACAGGACCCTGCAGAGAGGCCTGGGAAACACAGCTAATTAAGAGGCCTCTCGTCCCCATTTTTCACTTTTTTATTCATTTGAGGAACTTTTCAAGTGCATCTCCTGCGATGCCGCACTGCAGGGAAATTGAGCCTGGGTCACCGTTTTCTTGGAGTTCATGGCCTAGGTGGACATTAATTCCCAAAGAAATGCAAAATCGCCACTGTCAAGAAGGGCTTGAAAGGGCCATATGGTCTGATGAGGATGTGGCCCCAGGGGGGATGTGTCCCATTCTGTGTGGCTGGGAAGAGGAGCAGTAGACAGGGTGAAGAGAGGCTGAAATTACACCCTGGAGAAAGAACAGCATGTGCAAAGGCCCTGGGGTGCGCCTGAGGGAGGGAGCGAAGGAGACGTATGTGGCTGGGGATGATGAGGTAGGTGGCGGGGCTGCCCCATGCCTGGCGGGGCTGAGCCTTGGCTTCCTGGTGTGTCCAGGTGTGTCACACCTGCCCTCTCTTCCCACACGCGTGTTCAGACGTGGATGAGTGTTCGAGGGACCCGCTGCTCTGCCGGGGAGGCACCTGCACCAACACGGACGGGAGCTACAAGTGCCAGTGTCCCCCTGGACACGAGCTGACGGCCGAAGGCACTGCCTGTGAGGGTGAGTGTGCAACCGGGTGTGTGAGTGTGAGCCCGTGTGTGTTAATGTGAGTGAGCGCGTGTCTGTTTTGGTGAACGTGAATTGTATAAATGACGGGATGAGCGTGTGTCTTTGTCTCTCTGAGACCGTACCTGTGTGTGAGTGTGCAAACGTGTGTCAGCGTGTGTGTGTGAGTGGTTGCATGTGTAGGATGGCGGGCGTATTTGTGTGTCTGTGGGAGCGTGCACGTGTGTGTACCCGTGAATGTGTGTCTGCACAAGGGTGCGTGCATGCGAGTGGGTGCGAGGGTGTGTTTGTGAGTGGGTCTGTTTGCAGCGGGGTGCGAGTGTGTGTCGGGTGCCTGGTGTTTGCAGGTGAGTGGGTGTGAGGGCGTGCAAGGGGCGTACCCATGCCGGCGGCGTGAGCTCTTTGGCACGCGTGTGTGTCTGACTGCGACTCGCGGTCACGCAGACGGCAGATGGGGCACAGGCCGTTCCTTCTCCTGGGCCTCCACCCCACCAGCCTTGCGCTCCCCCCACAGACATCGACGAGTGCTCCCTGAGTGACGGCCTGTGTCCCCATGGCCAGTGCGTCAACGTCATTGGTGTCTTCCACTGCTCCTGCGACGCCGGCTTCCAGGCCACGCCGAACCACCAGGGCTGCGTGGGTGAGACTGTGCCCGTCTGCCAGCCCTTAGGCACCCATGGCAGCCCTGACCGCAGTGGCAGTCCCTCCTGCCCGCGCCTAGAGACCCCGCTCTGCTCCTGTCCCCAGAGCGGCCGCTGCCCGTCCCAGCCCCTCCCTGTCTGCCCTGCCCGCTGCAGACATCAACGAGTGCGGCGTCCGGAACGGTGGATGTGACGCGCACTGCGTTAACACCCAGGGCAGCTACCGGTGCAGCTGCGGAAGGGGCTACTCACTGATGCCCGACGGGAGGGCGTGTGCAGGTGGGTGGGCACAGCCCCTCCCCTGCCTGGGATGGAGGGCGAGGAGGAGAAGGCGTCGGCCCGGCCCCAAGCCGGCATCCAGGCGAAGCCAGCCAGACCCGAGGCACCTCCTCCCTGGCATGCGGGTCTGGCCCCAGGCAGGCTGCTGACCTTATAGGAGGGACCCCGGGGCTCTCCCTTCACCCCTGCCCACCTGCAGCCCACCTCCCCCTGCCTGCTTCCCCAGACGTGGATGAGTGCGCCGAGAACCCCAACGTCTGTGACGGGGGCCAGTGCACCAACATTCCGGGAGGTCACCGCTGCCTGTGCTACGACGGCTTCACGGCCACGCCAGACGTGAGGACGTGTGTCGGTGAGAAGCGGGGACCGTGGGGGTGGAAGGCGGCGTCGGCATCCACATCCCACGTCTTCCGTAAGGACCTGGGCGTGGCAAACCCAGGTCCCATCCCCGCCACACGCAGGAAAGAGAAGATGAGGCTTTGTAGCCTCGGGGAATATTCTGCTCAGGGGTCCCCGGGACCCCGAGCCCACTCTCCCAAGCCCACGGGTCTCATCGGTAGAAGCAGAGCACCCTGAGCATGTTCTTTCGAATTCTATTTGTTGAGTCCTCACTGTGTCCCCAGGACCTGTGACGGGGTCGTGTCCTGTTCCAAGGGCTGCGCTTTGAGATCACCAAAGACAAAGGGTTTTTTGCAGAGAAGGCTGAACAAGGCGGGAAAGAGACTTAGAACCCCTGGGAGGTTTGGGTGGCGATCACTGTCCTTCCTTGGCTACAGGTCGTCTCGGAGCCTGGAGAGGAGCAGTATACTGGGTCCCCTATCAGGGCAGAGCCGAGGCCAGCGTGGGGAATTTGCAGGAAGTAACAGTGTAACTCCCGACCAGGAAGTCTTGTGCAGCCCAGTGGAACTTAAAGTGTTCCTGCTCACAGAAGTCTCAGGGGTCTCCAAAAAAGAAACTTGCGAGCAAGTTCCCAAATACGTTTAGGGAATTCCGTCTACTCCATACCCCTATAGCAGATCCACTATGCACATTGGCATAAAGGCTCTGACAAGTCCTGCAGGAGGAAAACCTGGTCAACTTTCTTGAAGCCTGCATTCCCTGAATGTATTTGACCATAAAATCCTTTTGGAAATACACACCCGGTGTGCTCCTTGGAATATGCACCGGGAGATGTTCACAGAACACTCCTGGCAGCCCAGCCCTGGAACCAGAGGGAGTTCCCCACCCCCCCACTGGAGATGCGCAAAGGGGACCCGCCTGGCAGGACACTCAGGAGTGTCGTATCTCTCCCTCCCATTCTGCCCCATTTCCTCTCCCATCACCCCAGCACCCAGCCCTGAGGCCTCACGCCCTCTGCCCCTACAGACATGAACGAATGTGACCTGAACCCCCACATCTGCCTCCATGGGAACTGCGAGAACACGAAGGGCTCTTTTGTGTGCCACTGCCGGCTGGGATACGTCGTCAGGAAGGGAGCCACGGGCTGCTCCGGTGAGCCAGTGGTCAGAGGTGCAGGCACGGGGGACCCTGGTGGGCCCCCGGTGTGCCAGCTAGTGGAGTACAGAGCTGGCCAGAATTCATTCTTACACATTCCCACCGACGGGGTCTCATGTTAAAGCAAAAACAGGGCCAGGTGTGGTGGCTCGCACCTAAAATCCCAGCACTTTGGGAGGCCGAGGCAGGAGGATCACTTGAGGCCAGGAGTTCAAGACCAGCCTGGACAATATAGCAAGACCCCATCTCTAC